TCGGGATGAACAGTAACAGCAGCAGCCAGGAGCTCCCGAAGCATTCTCTGCACTGATTGGTCAATGGATTGCCACGTCACTGCAGCGGCATGTGTGCAAGATGGCCGTATGCGATTTAGAGAAGGGAGGTGGAGAAGGAGAGTTGGAAGGGGAAAGAGCGGGTGGGGGAGGAGGGACGAGCGGGAAAATCTGATTATCTGATGAGCAAAAGAGGAAAATATGCTCCTTCCTTCCATGCATGCTCCTTCCTTCCATGCATGCTCATTCCTTCCATGCATGCTCCTTCCTTCCATGCATGCTCCTTCCTTCCATGCATGCTCCTTCCTTCCATGCATGCTCCTTCCTTCCATTCATGCTCCTTCCTTCCATGCATGCTCCTTCCTTCCATGCATGCTCCTTCCTTCCATTCATGCTCCTGTGTCATGGGGATGTGTGCAGTTAGCTGTTGCCTGCCATTAGCAGAATGCCATCACCATGCCGAACTCCATCCATGCCAGCCATGCCATTTCCCATCCAAACCACGCCATCCCCCATCCATACCGCTGTGCTCCTGCTCAAACGCCTGCACAAACTCGTGAGTTGGCACGTGCTCGTACTTGTGGCCACTGTAGTTCTGATGAGAGAAGAGGGCAGGGGGGAGGGAGGGGGCAGCATGGTAGTGGGGGGAGGGATGGGATGCATGCACAGAGAAGTGAGTGTGAAACGAGAATGGTGAGTCACAAGTACCATGTCTCATGCATGAATCAGTACCGTGATGACATGTTATAAATGAAAAAGAAGCAGTTCCATACCACACAAAACACCACACCAGCTCTGCACTACACAACCCACTGCACCACACCACACCACTTGACATGTTACCATGACAGTGAAGTGTGTCTGGAAGTCCGACAGAGAATCTTCTGCTTGCGAATACGGCTTGTTGGCGATGCGAGCCTGGTGGGGCAAGCAAAGAAGAGTCAGTCACATGAAGCATGCAAAAGACAGGAGGCACAGGGCGAGTCTTTGGAGCCGTTCAGAAGTTGAGAGTCAGACAGAGTGTCATCTGCTTGGGAATGCGTTTGTTGTCAATGTGAGCCTGGTGGGTACATGGAAGCATCTGAAGGTATGGAGGGGCAAGAAAGAGTCTTTGGAGCCGCTTCCGAAGTTGAGAGTCCGACAGAGTGTCCTCTGCTTGCGAATGCGTCTTGCTGGCAAAGAGGGCGGCAGGAAACAGGCAGCAGGCAGCAGGCAGCAACAAGCAAGCCGCATTCCATTCCAGCCGACCCAATCACCCAGAACACGTCCGATAAATACGCCTCCAGCAGCTTGAGCCTCTTGAGCAGCAGCAGGAAGCGCAGGTCGAACTTCCTCCTGTGGAAGTCCACCGCAGCCAACAGTCAACAGGCAGAAAGGGCCGCAGCCCAACAAGCAGCAGCCCACCCGAACAACTCACCCAGAACACATCTGAGAGATACACCTCGAGGGGTCTCAGCCTTTTGAGCAGCAGCAGAAGGCGCAGGTCGAACTCCCTCCCGTGGAAGAGCGCGGGGCGCGGGGTGGGAGATGTACTTCTGCCCAGACTTTGGCCTCCCCTTCCGCCCAGTCTCTGCCTTGCTGTGGGGCGCCTCACACCACCGCCAGCCAGCCAGCAGGCAAGCACCGAAACCCTGGACATTCACTGCCACTCACCCAGAACACATCGGAGAGATAAGCCTCCAAAGGCTCGAGTTTTCTCAGCAGCAGCAGGAGGCGCAGGTCGAACTTCCTCCCGTGGAAGAGCGCGGGGCGGGAGATGTACTTCTGGGCCACCTTGGGGCCGGTCCCTGCCAGCCGTATGATCTGCGCCAGGTGGCGCGCCACCGTTGCATCCATGCTGCGCGCGAGATTCCAGGGCTTTAAGATCCACGTGTTGTCCAGATCTGGTTCCGCAAGGAAAAGATGCGGGGACATAAAGGAGGTCTCAGAGCAGCAGTGCAAAGGGGAGGACTGGGAGAGATTTTAGTGGGATGGGGGGAGGGGACAGGGCATCCATGCTGCGTGCGAGGTTCCACGGCTTTATGATCAGATCAGGGTCTGTCGTGTAGAAACGCCAGGAAGATGGGCCAGGGCATGAGAACTTTTACACGACTCAAAGGGGACGCTGGGCAAGGGGGGTGGCTTGCTCACCTTCTTTCTTCTCAGGCGCCTCACTGCCCTCGTAGCTGGCAATCAGTCGCCTCCCTGCAGCAGCAGCTGCCGCCGCCTCCCTCCCCTGGAAGCATCCTATCAGCGCTGCCATCTCCGACTGCATGTCGTACGTGTCTTGTAACCAGGGGCGTGTGTTGCCGTACGCCTGCATGGCAAAAGAAGATGAAGAGAGCACATACAAGCATGAAAGGTACAGGAGGGCCATCAAGCCATAGAGCACCCTATCAGCGCTGTCATTTCTGACTGCATGTCGTACGTGTCCTGCAGCCAGGGGCGTGTGCTGCCGTATGCCTACACACAAGTTCAGCCACAGGGATGTAAAGGCGGACATGTAAGGGAAAAAATAGGGCACTCCACGAGTGTCGCTGCCAGCTCCGATTGCATGTCGTACGTGTCCTGCAGCCAGGGGCGCGTGTTGCCGTATGCCTGCATGGATGAGAAGCAGCAGAGAAAGAAGCAGCATGAGAAGGAGATACACAGCCCATCAGCCTATCACTGCTGCCAGCTCCGATTGCATGTCGTACGTGTCCTGCAGCCAGAGGCGCGTGTTGCCATATGCCTGCATGGATGAGAAGCAGCAGACAAAGAAGCAGCATGAGAAGGAGATACACAGCCCATCAGCCTATCACTGCTGCCAGCTCCGATTGCATGTCGTACGTGTCCTGCAGCCAGAGGCGCGTGTTGCCGTATGCCTGCACGAGCAGAGCAAGCAGAAGCATGAGAGGGAGAGCACACAACCATACAGAATCAAATCAGCGTTGTAAGAACCGAATGCATGTGATACGTGCCCTGTAGCCAGGGTCGCACGGCTGCCTTACGCCTGCACACAGCAGCAGAGAGTAGCAAAGGAAATCACACACACATGAGGGGAGCATGGCATGTGGCAACCTGTCGTTGTTGCCCGCTCCGACTGCAAGTCATATGTATCTTGTAACCAGGGGCGCGTGTTGCCGTACGCCTGCATGCTAACAGAGAGAAGCAAAGAAGATGGCATACGGCACACACACGTGAGGAGAGCATATGGCACACTGTAACTATTGCTTGCTCCGACTGCAAGCCGTACGTATCTTGTAACCAGGGGCGCGTGTTGCCGTACGCCTGTGCACAAGAGCAAGAGGAGCAAGCAGACTACCACCCACATGTGAAGGGAGAGCATACAGTTCTGCTCGCTCTTAATGCATGTCGTGCATGTCCTGCCCATAGACGGGGACAAGAGCCCCGTGTGTTTGGCATATACACAAGCACGATCAGAACACAAAGCAAAGAGTATATGGTGTATAGCTTATCATCCCCTTGGAGTTTAGCTTATCGCGCCCTTGAAGCATGGCTTATTATGCCCGAGTAATGCTTCGTTCCCATGGATTACTGCTGCATGCCCTTACTGTATTGCTTATCGTGCTCTTGGAGCAATGATTATCGTGTCCATATAGCATTGCTTACCATGAGCTTATACCTCTGCATGCATCGTAGAAACTGAGGTAGCAGCAAGCAATCAACGAGCATATGTCATATTGGAGCAAAGGGTGAGCTGGCTGCATCCTGCAAAGCACATGCCATATAATGCTGACTGAATTTTACAAACGACATGCCATGTAATGCTGACTGCAGCTACTGCACCTGCTCTGCTGGATTGTCCTTGCCAGGTAGAGTTTCATCAATCCATGCCTCACCCAACTGACCAACTTGTCGCACACCACCCATTTGCACACCACCCATTTGCACACCACCCATTTGCACACCACCCATTTGCACACCACCCATTTGCACACCACCCGTTTGCACACCATCCATTTGCACACCACCCATTTGCACCGCACCCCACCTGCTGGATGGTCCTTGCCAGGTGATGCTTCATCACAATGCAAGCCTCAAACGGGAACTGGTTCACAAATGGCTCTCGCCCTCCCTTGGCCATGCCTTGTCCCTCCCTGCCCTCCCCGCCCTCTCTTGCCCCTCAACCACGCACCTGCTGGATGGTCCTCGCCAGATGATGTTTCATCACAATGCATGCCTAAAATGGAAACTGGTTCACAAATGGCTCCTGCCCTCCCTTGGCCTTACCTTGGCCCTCCCCGCCCTCCCTTGTGTCTCCACCACGCACCTGCTGTATTGTCCTCGCCAGATGATGTTTCATCACAATGCATGCTTCAAACGGGAACTGGTTCACAAACGGCTCTGGCTCTCCCTTCTCCCGCCTCTCCTTCAGCCCAGCCGCCTCTCTGAACGTATCGTCCACCTGCATGCTCGTCCATATGATGTCCGCTTCACTGGGGGTGTCGACTGAAAGGCAGTTGGAGGTTTTGGGGGTTGGTTGGGGAATAGGGGAAGCACGTGCATGCATTAAGCTTCGCTTTATTTTGAGACTTCGCTTTTAAGCGTCTCAAAATACAACTTTTATCACGTGGGAATAGGGGAAGCACGTGCATGAATTAAGCTTCGCTACTCCTTCAGCCCAGCTTCGCCTCTCTGAATGCATCATGAACCTGCATGCTTGTCCATTTGATGTCTGCCTCGCTGGGGGCGTCCACTGGGGGAGTGGGAAGGGGTGGGAGAGAGAAGGGAAACCAAGTTGAGGGTTTCCTTCTCCCCTCCCTTGCCTCTCAGAATGCCTCGTCCGTCCAGCACCTGCATGGAGCTCTAGATAACGTCGGCCTCGCCAGGTGCGTCAGCTGGAGTAACAACAGCTCGGTGCAACACCAAAACACAGTGCGGTGTAAACAGTGTGAAGAGAGAAGAAGGAGAAGAAGAAGGAGAAGAAAAAGAAAAATGGACGGCGTTCGAGAGGTTCCAAGAGTGAGAAACAACAACAGCGCACAGGACAGGACAGGACAGGACAGGACAGGACAGGACAGGACAGGACAGACGCGATGACAAGTACGATCTGGAGGGATTGGTAGAGCTGGTGTTTCGAGTGATGTGATGTGATGTGATGTGATGTGATGTGATGTGATGTGATGTGATGTGATGTGATGTGATGTGATGTGATGTGATGTGATGTGATGTGATGTGATGTGAATGGTGCACTGAAAGTGAACTCAGGGCGGGAAAGGCTGTCTAAGGCATGGGGAAGATCGCCTGTGACTGTGATGTGATGTGAATGCCCCCAAGCTTGCCCTTTCCTCCTCTCGACCCAGAAAGGCTGCCCGTGGCCCCAGCCATACACTCACCGAAAGTGAACTCTGGGCGCGAGAGAGTGTCAAGGACGTGGGGAAGATCGCTGAACACTCGATACACTCGCTTCCCTGCTTCCAGTTTCCCTGGCTCCGCTGGGTTTTCCGGTTTGCCTCTAGCTCCACCTGCCTCGCCTCCTTCTGCCTTGTCCTCCTTATTGTCGGACTCAGCACAAGCAAGGAGAGAGGTAGCCTCCGCATGCTTTGCAGCCGCTGCTGCGAACCTGCACAGGCGCTGCTCGTAGGCCTGGGGTGGGGTGGGGTGGGGTGGGGTGGAGTGGGGTGGAGTGGGATGCGGTGTGGGGTGAGATTAGGTGTGGGGTGAGATGAGGTGTGGGGTGAGATGAGGTGTGGGGTGCGATGGTCCATGCTGCCCTTTGAATCGACTAGAATGCATGTGGACGTGTGGGCGTTTGGTGGACCGCTGCTGCTCGCACGGAGTAACATAAGCTTGCTGAGAGGAGAGAGAGGCAGTACACTCAAAATTCACTTGCTGGAAGCAGCTCGAGGGAGTGTGGTGAGATGGGGTGTGGTGTGAAAGTAGCAAATTGAACAAGTGATCAGATTAGAGGAACAACCTAGCATACATAGTTGGAAGGGAAGGTTGGAAGGGAAGGATGAAAGTGACCATAGGTTAGGTTGACCTCACTTGGGGAAGTGAGGGAACCATAGGTCAAGTGGGTTGGGTTGTCCACACTTTGTAGAAGTGAGGCAACCCTAGGCCCACTTGGCTTGGGGTAACCTCAATTGTGGGAAGTGAGGTACCCACAAGTCAAGAGGGTTGCATTTGGGGGCTCCACCACAATTGGGTGGATTGGCACCCCAAAGTGCAAGACTACACCCAAAGTTGGGTGTAGTCCCAACCCAACTGTACACCACAATTGGTGTACAGTCACATGTGTTGGCATGCTACACAATATATATTTTAACACAACCCCTTAGCATGCTAACACAAGAAGAGAACAACCCCTGAATCAAGGGGCGCCCGGGCGAGCAAGGCCAATGAGGCGGAGGAAGGCAGAGTGCGCGGGGCGAAGGAGGGCCTTAGTGAAGATGTCGGCCAAGTTGGCCTCGGTTGCAATCTTGCGAACGGCAATGAGGCCCTTCTGGACGAGCTCGCGAACGAAGAAGTAGCGGAGTTCGATGTGCTTGGAGCGGGCGTGATAGACGGGGTCCTGAGTGAGATGGATGGTGCTGGCGTTGTCGCACCAGAGAGTGGGGCACGTCTGGGGGGCGCCAAGCTCCGCAAGAAGGAAGCAGAGCCAGCGCGACTCCTGGGCGGCCATGGTGCCAGCGTAGAGCTCGGCTTCGCAGGTGGAGAGAGAGATGGCGGAGGAGCGGGTGGAGCGCCAGCTGATGAGGCCGCTGCCAAGGGTGAAGCCGTAGCCCTGGGAGGAGCGGCGGTCCGGCTGCGTGTCAGCCCATGAGGAGTCACTGAAGCCCGAGAGAAGGGGACGGGAAGGGCCGCCGAGGGTGAGGGCAAGGTCCCTGGTCCCGCGAAGGTAGCGGAGGACCCGCTTGGCAGCTTTCCAGTGCTCCTCAGAGTGACGACCGGTGCCGACAAAGCGAGCGAGCACGCTGATGGGGTAGGCGAGGTCGGGGCGGGTGCACATCATTGCGTACATCAAGGACCCAACGAGCTCGGCATAGGGGTGGGGGGAGGAGGTGGGGGAGGTGGGTGGAGCGAGTTGGTGACCGAAGGGGAGCGGGGTGGAAACAGGCTTGGCTTGCGCCATGTCGAACTTCTCCAAGACCTGGCCGATGTAATGGGACTGGGAGAGGGTGATTGTGCGAGCAGGGCGGTTGCGCGTGATGGTCATGCCGAGGTAGTGAGTGAGGGCGCCAAGGTCCTTGCACTTGAGCCGCTGCTGCAGGGACAGTTTCACCTGCTCCATGTCGGCCTTGGTGTCAGAGAGCAGGATCATGTCGTCGACATATACCAGAATGAAGAAGCGGCGGGGGGAGGAGCGGATGAAGAGGCTGGCGTCGGAGTGGGAAGCAGAGAAGCCGAGGGACCCCAAGGTGGCAGCCAGCTTCGCATGCCACTCACGTGGTGCCTGCTTCAAGCCGTAGACGGGGCGACGCAGCTGCCAGACAGTGTTCTCAGGAAAGGCTGCGTGGAACCCGGGGGGTCGCCGGAGGAAAATGCGCTCATGCAGGTCGCCCTGCAGGAACGCATTGGAGACGTCCATGGAGTCGATTTCCATGTCGTCACGTGCACCAATGTCCATGGCGGCGCGAAGGGTGGGTGGTTTGGCGGTGGGGGCGTAGGTGAACCAGTAGTCCTCAGCCCAAGTCTGCGTGAACCCCTTGGCGCAGTAGCGGGCCTTGTACACTGGTTCCTCGCCCGGCAGCTGCTTCACCCGAAAGACCCATTTGCCGTCAACGAGATTAGCGCCAGCAGGGAGGGGGACATCGACAAAGGAGTCGTTGCGAATGAAAGCCTCACACTCCAGGAAGATCGCTGCTATCCATTTATCCGCATCAGGGCAGGTGATGGCTTCCTGGAAGGTGGAGGGAGTGAAGATGGTGGGGGTAGTAGTGGCGCCAAGGACAGGAAAGCCCAGGAAGTCAAGGTAGAGGGCGGCAAGGAATGGAGTGTGCTCCCGAATGTTGAGGAACTCCTCATGGGAGTCCTCAAGGAGCTGAATGGAGGCAGGAGGAGGAGCCCCAAGGATTTTGTCCACCGAGCGGGTATGGATGTAAGGGAGGAGGAAGGGGGAGGAGCGGGAAGTGGCACGGCGCCGCTGCTGCTGCTGGTGCTGCTGCTGCTGATGCTGCTGCTGCTGTCCCGGCTGCTGCTGATGCGGCTGCCCCGGCTGCTGCTGCTGCTGCTGCTGCTCCGGCTGCTGCTGCTGCTGCTGCTGCTGCTGCTGCTGCTGCTGCCCCGGCTGCTGCTGCTGCTGCCCCTGCTGCCGTTGCTGGTGTTGCTCCCGCTGCTGCTGCTGCTGCTGCTGCTGGTGCTGCTGCTGCCCCTGCTGTTGCTGATCCGGCTGCTGCTGCTGCTGCTGCCCCTGCTGTTGCTGATCCGGCTGCTGGAAAGGAGGAGAATGAGAGGAGGAGGGAGAGGGGGGAGGGGGTGCAGCTGAGTGAGCGGGGGAGGCGGGTGCGGCAGGGTCGTAGACGTCGGCAGAGGAGGAAGGCGGGAGTGGGGCGGCGACAGGTGGGAGGAGAGGCGCTGGAGGGATAAGAGGCGGGAGGATGGTGTCGGTCCAAGCGAGGGGGCGAGTGGGAGGAGGGAGGGGGTCAGGAGGAGGGGTGGAGTAGTAGGGAGTGGACTCGTTGAAGACGACGTCAATGCTGCGGATGAGGCGATTGGTGGGAGGGTGGAGGAATAGGTAGCCTGGGGAATCACGATTGTGCCCAAGGTAGACGCACTCCAGAGCGCGAGGAGCGAGCTTGCCAGCAGCGCGGGAGCGGTCGGCCGGTGGAATGAGGACGAACGCCTTGCAGCCCCAAACACGAAGGCCTGCGGCGTCAGGCTTGGCCTTGGACCAGAGTTCTGTGGGGGAGGAGGAGGGATGCTGAGGGTGGGAGCGGAGATTGAGGAGGAGGGTGGCATGAATGAGGGCATAGCTCCAGAGGGAGGGAGGGGTGGAGGCGTGAGCAATGAGGCAGCGCGCAATCTTGGTGATCTCACGGATGCGACTCTCAGCGATGCCGTTTTGCTGAGGGGAGTGGGGAAGGGTGGTGGTCTGCTGAATGCCGTATGTTTTGCAGTAAGTGGAGAGAGTATGATTGATGAACTCACCCCCACCGTCAGAGTGAAGGCGGCCTATGGGACGTTTGAAGTGGTTGCGGCACTGCTCAGCCCAGTTGATGACCACAGCCGGCACCTGGTCTTTCGTGTGAAGAAAGAAGACGGTGGAGTACCGACTGTGGTCGTCGACGAGCACGAGCATGTACCTGTGCCCCTGACGGGAGCGGATGGGATAAGGGCCCCAGAGATCCATGTGAACAAGGTCAATGGGGGCGGGAGCGAAGGTGGGATGACTGTGATGGGGGGACTGTTTGAGCTTGCCATGAATGCATGATGGGCATGGGGGAGCAGGGGAGGAGGGGAGGGGAGGTAAGGTGGGAGGAAGGCTGTTAAGGAGGCGAGAGGTGACGGTGGAGCGAAGTGCGGCGAAGTTGGGATGGCCGAGTCTGTGATGTAGGAGCACTGCAGGATGGGAGAGGGCAGTAGAGGAGGAGGGGGATGGGGTGGGGGAAAAGTTGGGGGGGGAGGAGGAGGCGGATGGAGTAGAGGAGGAGGATATCGGAGGAGGGGGAGGGGGAGGGTGAGGGGGAGGGAGAAGGGGACCGGTGGAAGTACCAGCACGAGTGGTGACGTGACAAAAGGAGGGACGGGGTGTGCGGAGCGTGTAAAGGCGAGTGCGAGGGCAAAGGGGAATGCGCAGGAGGAAACGACCAGAGGCGGTGTGGTAGAGATCGCAGTAGGAAGCAAAGCCAGGGTATAAGGCGGTAATGCCAACGCCTTGGAGTTCACGGTGGGAGAGGAGGTTATTGCGAAGGGTAGGGATGTGGAGACCGGTGACTGTACCGGATGGGAAGGCGGTGCAAGGAAGGGTGGAGAGGTGAGTGCAGGGGATGGAAAAGCTGGAGTCGGCACCATGAACCTGGGTGGGAAGTGGAAGGGGGGTGAGGGTGCCAGCGTCTTTTAGTGCGGTTTCGGTGGCCCCACTGTCAAGGACAAAGTCCAGGGTGGGAGGGGAAGGAGAGGGAGGGAACACAGAGTACTGGAGAGTTGTTTCATGGATAGAAGAGGGAGAGAGCGGCGGGTGCTGCTGCTGTAAGTACTGTTGCTGCTGCGGCTGCTGCGGTGGGAGAGACTGTGACGGTTGCGGCTGGAGAGATTGGGCTGCTGCTGCTGCTGGAAGCACCGCCGATGCTGCCGCGGTTGCTGCGGCTGGAGAGATTGTGGTGGCTGCTGCTGCTGGAAGCACTGCTGCTGCTGCGGATGGAGAGAACTGTGGCTGGTGCTGCTGCTGGAAGCACTGCTGCTGCTGCGGCTGAAGAAACTGTGGCTGCCGCTGCTGCTGGAAGGACTGCTGCTGCTGCGGCGGAAGGAACTGTGGCAGCTGCTGCTGCTGGAAGCACTGCTGCTGCTGCGGCTGAAGAGACTGTGGCTGCTGCTGCTGCAGGAAGGACTGCTGCTGCTGCGGTGGAAGGAACTGTGGCAGCTGCTGCTGCTGGAAGGACTGCCGCTGCTGCGGCTGGAAGGACTGCTGCTGCTGGGGATGGAGAAACTGTGGCGGGTGAGGCTGGAGAGATTGCGGCTGCTGTTGGTGTTGGAAGAACTGCTGCTGCTGCGATTGCCGCGGCTGGAGGAGATGTGGGGGGTGCGGCTGGAGAAATTGTGGTTGCTGCCGCTGCTGGAAGTCCTGCTGCTGCTGATGCTGGAGCTGCTGGAAACGCCGCAGATGGGGAGGGGGGGAGGGGGTGAGCAGGCGGAGATAAGGGGGGGGGGAGGAGTGGAGGGTCGGAGTGTTGAGAAGGGAGGGGCGAGGAGTAACACTGCTCCAGTGAGGAGGGGGGAGAGGGGCAGGGGGGATAGCAGTCATGATGGGCGACGGCGGGTGGACCCGCGGCGGCCAAGGGTGAAGTTGCTGCTGCGGAGGCTGCTGCACTTCCCCTGCTGCCGCTGCTGCTGCCGCTGGCAGGAGGAGGGAGGGGGGGGGGGGGGGGGGGTAAAGGAGGGAGACAGCGGTGGAGGGCAGAGGCGTTCAAGGTGCAGGGAGCGACGGTGACAAGGGCGCAGGCGGCTGTGCGAACGTGCGGCGGCGGGAAGGGGAGGCGGTGGCAAAGTCGGGGGCGGCGGCGGCGAGCAGGCCGCGACGACGAGGGGCGCAGGCGACGGCGGAAGGGCCGCGGCGGCGAAACGAGGGACGGCGGCGGCAGGCAGGCCGCGGCAACGAGGGGCGCAGGGGGAGGGGGAGGGGGGGGAGAGGAGTAGGGAGAGGAGGAAGGGAGGGTGCAGTTGCGGCTGAATCTGCAGGCGGCGACGGGGCAGTCACGGCGGCAGGAAGTGTGGGCGGGGATGGCGCGGTCGCGGTGGAGGATGGGCAGGCGGCGTCGAAGCAGTCGCGGCGGTAGGGCGGCGGCGGCGCAGTGGCGTTAACGGGAACCGCGGGGCGACGATGTTGCAGTTGCGGCGGGGGAAATTGCGGGAGGGTGGCGATGCAGAAGGGGCAGCGAGATGCGTGGGTGACGCGGAAGCAGGTGCGGCGGTGGGAGGGGAGGCGGCAATGCGAAATCGCGGCGGGGGGGGGGGGGGGGGGGGGGGGGGGTGTGGGGGCGGGGAGGTGACGACGAGCAGTCGCAGCGGCGGAATGCGCAGGCGGCGATGTTAGGTCGCGGCGGCGGGACGGGCAGGGGGCGACGAGCTGTCGCGGCGGCGGGACGGGCAGACGGCGCCGAAGCAGGCGCGGCGGCGGGAAGGGGAGGCGGCGACGTGACGTCGCGGCGGAGGGACGGGCAGGCGGCGACGAGGCGTCGCGGCGGCGGGATGCGCAGGCGGCGCCGAAGCAGGCGCAGCGGCGGGAACGCGGCGACGAGTCGTCGCGGCGGAGGGACGGGCAGGCGGCGACGAGGTGTCGCGGCGGCAGGATGCGCAGGCGGCGCCGTAGCAGGCGCGGCGGTGGGAACGCGGCGACGAGACGTCGCGGCGGAGGGACGGGCAGGCGGCGACGAGGCGTCGCGGCGGCAGGATGCGCAGGCGGCGCCGAAGCAGGCGCGGCGGCGGGAACGCGGCGACGAGACGTCGCGGCGGAGGGACGGGCAGGCGGCGACGAGGCGTCGCGGCGGCAGGATGCGCAGGCGGCGCCGTAGCAGGCGCGGCGGCGGGAACGCGGCGACGTGACGTCGCGGCGGAGGGACGGGCAGCGGGCAGGCGGCGACGAGGCGTCGCGGCGGCAGGATGCGCAGGCGGCGCCGAATCAGGCGCGGCGGCGAGAAGGGGAGGCGGCGACAGGGGGTCGCGGCGGGGGGGAGGAGGGGACAGCGGCGTTGCGCTCGCGGCGGTGGAATCCGCAGGCGAGGAAGGCGTAATCGCGGCGGGAGGGGGGGGGAACGGCGGCGACGGCGTAGGTCGCGGCGAGAGTATGCTAGTGATGGCTAGTTGAGCCACGCGTAGGAAAGGGTTTGTAGCTGTGGGGTGGGCCCATGGGAAAAAAAAAAAAACTGAAGGGAGGGAGAGGTAAGGCCTAGGAACAAGTAGCTCTATACCATGTGAAAGTAGCAAATTGAACAAGTGATCAGATTAGAGGAACAACCTAGCATACATAGTTGGAAGGGAAGGTTGGAAGGGAAGGATGAAAGTGACCATAGGTTGGGTTGACCTCACTTGGGGAAGTGAGGGAACCATAGGTCAAGTGGGTTGGGTTGTCCACACTTTGTAGAAGTGAGGCAACCCTAGGCCCACTTGGCTTGGGGTAACCTCAATTGTGGGAAGTGAGGTACCCACAAGTCAAGAGGGTTGCATTTGGGGGCTCCACCACAATTGGGTGGATTGGCACCCCAAAGTGCAAGACTACACCCAAAGTTGGGTGTAGTCCCAACCCAACTGTACACCACAATTGGTGTACAGTCACATGTGTTGGCATGCTACACAATATATATTTTAACATGTGGGACGTGTGGTGAGATGGGGTGTGGGACGTGTGGTGAGATGGGGTGTGGGACGTGTGGTGAGATGGGGTGTGGGAGGTGTGATGTGGAATCCCACGAATAGCTTGGCCGATGCTGGCATTGACAGACACTAAAGAATGGAGGGAAGAGTCGGCATACTTGTTGGAAGGCGCTTGTGGGCGTGTGGAACCACACGGACAGCTTGGCTGAGCACTGCTGCTGTCCGTAATTTAATGTTCAAGGGAGGAAAGGTAGCTTGAGAGTTGAGGAAGGAGTGAAAGAGGTGCCATACTTGGTGGAAGCAGGAGGAGGGCGTGTGGAACCACACGGACAGCTTGGCTGAGCGCTGCTGCTCCTCTCCCACCCCGGCGAGATAGTCCCTCGTGCACTCCTCCCCTGGCTGCACTGCTGCCAGCGGCCACACCAGCGAGTAGCTGACGGGGTGGAGGTCAGGGAGGGAGGGGCAGGACAGGGCCAGGGCAGGCAGAAAGAGGGGCGATGTGTGAGAATATGTGGACTGCTGACTATCAGAATCTGTGGTAAATCCTCTTTTGAGACGTCTCAAAACTAAATCCCCCCCCTCCAATCCCCTTTTGAGACGTCTCAAAACTACCCCCCCCCCCCCCCCCAATCCCCTTTTGAGACTCCTCTCCCTCGTGCACTCCTCTCCCGCGTGCACTGCTGCCAGCGGCCACACCAACGAGTGGCTGATGGGGGCGAGGAGGGACGGCATGGGTGATAGAACGGAGAGGGGAAGGGCGACCCACCTGAAAAAAACTCACAGAAAAACACCTGACAGCACACACACCTGAGAGCAGAGGCGAAGGAGCCATCTGGCAGGAAGAGGAAGGGCGCACAGCAAAAGTTGGGCCGGTCACTGTGACGGAAGGCACTGCCAAACTCGTCCATCACGTACCTGATGGGTGTCGGGAGGGGAGTGGTACGAGTGGGGGGAATGCGGGGAGTGAGGGGGATATGTGGGGTTGGAGTGGAAGGTATGATGGGTGTGTAGAGGAGGAGGAGTGGTGGGGAGTGAAGGGGTTGGGGGGAGAAAGGGGTTCGGGGGAGAGAGCGGAAGAGGGGGAGGAAGGGTGGAAAAAGGACTTGGCGGGAGAAGGGGATAAGGCATAACATGTTGTTGCATGGAAAGAGGATAAGGACCTCATGGTGTGCACCACTCGGTCTGCTGGATGGATGCTGCACCACAGGCATGCAGCATCCATCCAGCAGACCAAGTCACTGCTCTGCTCGGTCACTTGGAGTGTTGGACTAGATGCAGTGCAGTGCGGTGCAGTGCGGTGCAAGCATACACACTCACCAAACTGCACTACACTCTAGTCCAGCTGTGTCTCGGTCGCGAGCTTGTAGCAGCACACGCGGCGCCACATGACATGCAGCACCCAGCGCATACCTAGTCACGGCTTGATCATTCGGGCCAAATACAGTGCAGTGGCAGTGGCAGTGGCAGTGGCAGTGCATGGATACTCCCTCCCTCCCTCCCTCCCTCCCTCCCTCCCTCCCTCCCTCCCTCCCTCCCTCCCTCCCTCCCTCCCTCCCTCCCTCCCTCCCTCCCTCCCTCCCTCACTACACCACACTCTGGTCCAGATGAGTTTCAGTAGCAAGCTTGTAGCTGCACTCGTGGTGCCACATGGCATGCAGCACCGAGCAAGCCTAGACAGTGCTTGGACAATTGGTGCAATGCAGCACAGTGCGGTGCAGTAAAGTGTGGTGCGGTGCTCTAATACTCACCACACAGCACTCTCATCCAGCTGTGTTTCAGTGGCGAGCTTGTAGCTGCACACGTGGCGCCACATGGCATGCAGCACTCGATCCACCAATGGCGTGCCGGGCTGCCAGGCTGGCAAGCGAGGAAACATCCAGGAACCTCCCCGCATGAACGAGGAGAGCAGAGCTCCGTTGAGTGAGGAGAGGCGGGGAAGAGTCGAAGCTGCATCGTATGGGTCAAAGGGGAAGGGGCCTTCCAGGTCTACCTGGAAAAGACAGGGGAGAGGGACGGGGAGGAGGGGAGAGGGAGAGGGGAGGAGGGGAGAGGGAGGTAGGAAGGTTGCAGAGGGGTGGGAGGAGAGGTGGGGGAGAGTGGATGCTCTGTTGTATGGGTCAAAAGGGAAAGGGCCTTCCAGGTCTACCTGGGGAGGTCGAGAGGGGCACACGATCATGTAGGGGAGAAAACGAGGGGGGGGCAGAGGGAAGAAGAGCAGAAGGGGATGAGAGCAGAGGGGAGGAGGGCAGAGGGGAGGAGGGCAGAGGGGAGGAGGGCAGAGGGGAGGAGGGCAGAGGGGAGGAGGGCAGAGGGGAGGAGGGCAGAGGGGAGGAGGGCAGAGGGGAGGAGGGCAGAGGGGAGGAGGGCAGAGGGGAGGAGGGCAGAGGGGAGGAGGGCAGAGGGGAGGAGGGCAGAGGGGAGGAGGGCAGAGGGGAGGAGGGCAGAGAGGGGAGGAGGGCAGAGGGGAGGAGGGCAGAGGGGAGGAGGGCAGAGGGAGGAGGGCAGAGGGGAGGAGGGCAGAGGGGAGGAGGGCAGAGGGGAGGAGGGCAGAGGGGAGGAGGGCAGAGGGGAGGAGGGCAGAGGGGAGGAGGGCAGAGGGGAGGAGGGCAGAGGGGAGGAGGGCAGAGGGGAGGAGGGCAGAGGGGAGGAGGGCAGAGGGGAGGAGGGCAGAGGGGAGGAGGGCAGAGGGGAGGAGGGCAGAGGGGAGGAGGGCAGAGGGGAGGAGGGCAGAGGGGAGGAGGGCAGAGGGGAGGAGGGCAGAGGGGAGGAGGGCAGAGGGGAGGAGGGCAGAGGGGAGGAGGGCAGAGGGGAGGAGGGCAGAGGGGAGGAGGGCAGAGGGGAGGAGGGCAGAGGGGAGGAGGGCAGAGGGGAGGAGGGCAGAGGGGAGGAGGGCAGAGGGGAGGAGGGCAGAGGGGAGGAGGGCAGAGGGGAGGAGGGCAGAGGGGAGGAGGGCAGAGGGGAGGAGGGCAGAGGGGAGGAGGGCAGAGGGGAGGAGGGCAGAGGGGAGGAGGGCAGAGGGGAGGAGGGCAGAGGGGAGGAGGGCAGAGGGGAGGAGGGCAGAGGGGAGGAGGGCAGAGGGGAGGAGGGCAGAGGGGAGGAGGGCAGAGGGGAGGAGGGCAGAGGGGAGGAGGGCAGAGGGGAGGAGGGCAGAGGGGAGGAGGGCAGAGGGGAGGAGGGCAGAGGGGAGGAGGGCAGAGGGGAGGAGGGCAGAGGGGAGGAGGGCAGAGGGGAGGAGGGCAGAGGGGAGGAGGGCAGAGGGGAGGAGGGCAGAGGGGAGGAGGGCAGAGGGGAGGAGGGCAGAGGGGAGGAGGGCAGAGGGGAGGAGGGCAGAGGGGAGGAGGGCAGAGGGGAGGAGGGCAGAGGGGAGGAGGGCAGAGGGGAGGAGGGCAGAGGGGAGGAGGGCAGAGGGGAGGAGGGCAGAGGGGAGGAGGGCAGAGGGGAGGAGGGCAGAGGGGAGGAGGGCAGAGGGGAGGAGGGCAGAGGGGAGGAGGGCAGAGGGGAGGAGGGCAGAGGGGAGGAGGGCAGAGGGGAGGAGGGCAGAGGGGAGGAGGGCAGAGGGGAGGAGGGCAGAGGGGAGGAGGGCAGAGGGGAGGAGGGCAGAGGGGAGGAGGGCAGAGGGGAGGAGGGCAGAGGGGAGGAGGGCAGAGGGGAGGAGGGCAGAGGGGAGGAGGGCAGAGGGGAGGAGGGCAGAGGGGAGGAGGGCAGAGGGGAGGAGGGCAGAGGGGAGGAGGGCAGAGGGGAGGAGGGCAGAGGGGAGGAGGGCAGAGGGGAGGAGGGCAGAGGGGAGGAGGGCAGAGGGGAGGAGGGCAGAGGGGAGGAGGGCAGAGGGGAGGAGGGCAGAGGGGAGGAGGGCAGAGGGGAGGAGGGCAGAGGGGAGGAGGGCAGAGGGGAGGAGGGCAGAGGGGAGGAGGGCAGAGGGGAGGAGGGCAGAGGGGAGGAGGGCAGAGGGGAGGAGGGAGGGGAGGAGGGCAGAGGGGAGGAGGGCAGAGGGGAGGAGGGCAGAGGGGAGGAGGGCAGAGGGGAGGAGGGCAGAGGGAGGAGGGCAGAGGGGAGGAGGGCAGAGGGAGGAGGGCAGAGGGGAGGAGGGCAGAGGGGAGGAGGGCAGAGGGGAGGAGGGCAGAGGGGAGGAGGGCAGAGGGGAGGAGGGCAGAGGGGAGGAGGGCAGAGGGGAGGAGGGCAGAGGGGAGGAGGGCAGAGGGGAGGAGGCAGAGGGGAGGAGGGCAGAGGGGAGGAGGGCAGAGGGGAGGAGGGCAGAGGGGAGGAGGGCAGAGGGGAGGAGGGCAGAGGGGAGGAGGGCAGAGGGGAGGAGGGCAGAGGGGAGGAGGGCAGAGGGGAGGAGGGCAGAGGGGAGGAGGGCAGAGGGGAGGAGGGCAGAGGGGAGGAGGGCAGAGGGGAGGAGGGCAGAGGGGAGGAGGGCAGAGGGGAGGAGGGCAGAGGGAGGAGGGCAGAGGGGAGGAGGGCAGAGGGGAGGAGGGCAGAGGGGAGGAGGGCAGAGGGGAGGAGGGCAGAGGGGAGGAGGGCAGAGGGGAGGAGGGCAGAGGGGAGGAGGGCAGAGGGGAGGAGGGCAGAGGGAGGAGGGCAGAGGGGAGGAGGGCAGAGGGGAGGAGGGCAGAGGGGAGGAGGGCAGAGGGGAGGAGGGCAGAGGGGAGGAGGGCAGAGGGGAGGAGGGCAGAGGGGAGGAGGGCAGAGGGGAGGAGGGCAGAGGGGAGGAGGGCAGAGGGGAGGAGGGCAGAGGGGAGGAGGGCAGAGGGGAGGAGGGCAGAGGGGAGGAGGGCAGAGGGGAGGAGGGCAGAGGGGAGGAGGGCAGAGGGGAGGAGGGCAGAGGGGAGGAGGGCAGAGGGGAGGAGGGCAGAGGGGAGGAGGGCAGAGGGGAGGAGGGCAGAGGGGAGGAGGGCAGAGGGGAGGAGGGCAGAGGGGAGGAGGGCAGAGGGGAGGAGGGCAGAGGGGAGGAGGGCAGAGGGGAGGAGGGCAGAGGGGAGGAGGGCAGAGGGGAGGAGGGCAGAGGGGAGGAGGGCAGAGGGGAGGAGGGCAGAGGGGAGGAGGGCAGAGGGGAGGAGGGCAGAGGGGAGGAGGGCAGAGGGGAGGAGGGCAGAGGGGAGGAGGGCAGAGGGGAGGAGGGCAGAGGGGAGGAGGGCAGAGGGGAGGAGGGCAGAGGGGAGGAGGGCAGAGGGGAGGAGGGCAGAGGGGAGGAGGGCAGAGGGGAGGAGGGCAGAGGGGAGGAGGGCAGAGGGGAGGAGGGCAGAGGGGAGGAGGGCAGAGGGGAGGAGGGCAGAGGGGAGGAGGGCAGAGGGGAGGAGGGCAGAGGGGAGGAGGGCAGAGGGGAGGAGGGCAGAGGGGAGGAGGGCAGAGGGGAGGAGGGCAGAGGGGAGGAGGGCAGAGGGGAGGAGGGCAGAGGGGAGGAGGGCAGAGGGGAGGAGGGCAGAGGGGAGGAGGGCAGAGGGGAGGAGGGCAGAGGGGAGGAGGGCAGAGGGGAGGAGGGCAGAGGGGAGGAGGGCAGAGGGGAGGAGGGCAGAGGGGAGGAGGGCAGAGGGGAGGAGGGCAGAGGGGAGGAGGGCAGAGGGGAGGAGGGCAGAGGGGAGGAGGGCAGAGGGGAGGAGGGCAGAGGGGAGGAGGGCAGAGGGGAGGAGGGCAGAGGGGAGGAGGGCAGAGGGGAGGAGGGCAGAGGGGAGGAGGGCAGAGGGGAGGAGGGCAGAGGGGAGGAGGGCAGAGGGGAGGAGGGCAGAGGGGAGGAGGGCAGAGGGGAGGAGGGCAGAGGGGAGGAGGGCAGAGGGGAGGAGGGCAGAGGGGAGGAGGGCAGAGGGGAGGAGGGCAGAGGGGAGGAGGGCAGAGGGGAGGAGGGCAGAGGGGAGGAGGGCAGAGGGGAGGAGGGCAGAGGGGAGGAGGGCAGAGGGGAGGAGGGCAGAGGGGAGGAGGGCAGAGGGGAGGAGGGCAGAGGGGAGGAGGGCAGAGGGGAGGAGGGCAGAGGGGAGGAGGGCAGAGGGGAGGAGGGCAGAGGGGAGGAGGGCAGAGGGGAGGAGGGCAGAGGGGAGGAGGGCAGAGGGCAGGAGGGCAGAGGGGAGGAGGGCAGAGGGGAGGAGGGCAGAGGGGAGGAGGGCAGAGGGGAGGAGAAGGGAGGGCGGAAAGCAGAGGGAAGGAGGGTCGAGCAAGGGGAGAGCATGACCACACGTGTTAAGGTTACATCAGGGTGAGAGAGAGGGAGGGGAGACAGGGGAGGTGGGGCAGTGAGGGAAGCGAGGCGAAGGGCAGCAATGCAAAGTTCCCCTCGCACCGATCAGCACAAAGCAGCACCACCGGAACCAGCCACGCCCACCAGCACCCAGCAGCACCCAGCAGCACCCAGCAGCACCCACCAGCACCGCACTTACTTGCAGAGAGCGCAGCGAGGGAAGAGAGGCGAGTGGCAGCAGCACAGAGGCACGAGAGGCGTCGATGTGGGCGAGTGGGGAGAGTGGAAGCGGGTTGTGAGAGAGGTTGATATGGGTGAGGGTTGGGAGGAGGGCTGGGGAGAAGACCTGTAGAGTCCACAGATAGCAAAGAGGAAAAGATGGGAGAGGGGAAAGATAGGGACGAGGGAAACACGGGAAAAGGTTTCGAGAGGAGTCAACGCAAGAAAGGGGGGAGAGAGCGAGCGGATTGAACAAGGAAGTTGATGTGTGTGAGGGCTGGGAGGAGAGTAGAGAAAAATACTTATAGAGAAGCAAGGAGAGTGGCACGTAAAGGGGAAAGGAAATTGGAAGGTGAAGAGGAGGAAAGGAAAGAGGAGAGGGAGAGAGTGGTGTGTCAACCCAAGTCAACTCACGTCAGCCCAAGTCAACTCACGTCAGCCCAAGTCAACTCACGTCAGCCCAAGTCAACTCACGTCAGCCCAAGTCAACTCACGTCAGCCCAAGTCAACTCACGTCAGCCCAAGTCAACTCACGTCAGCCCAAGTCAACTCACGTCAGCCCAAGTCAACTGACGTCAGCCCAAGTCAACTCATGTCAGCCCAAGTCAACTCACGTCAGCCCAAGTCAACTGACGTCAGCCCAAGTCAACTCACGTCAGCCCAAGTCAAACATCGTCCGCACTCCCATGCTTTGAACCCGTCTCATCTCATCTCAATCAGTCACACCTCTTGCTTCAGCTCCACGATTCCCCGGTCAGACAAGTCAACTTCAGTCAACTGCGCCAGCTGAGATGCCGCCACGTCATCGTCCAACGTGGCGCGGTGAGGGCCCGCCACGTCAGCAGCAAAGAGCAGCGCCCACGTGGAATAGCGGCGGGTGAAGTGGCGGTTGAACAGCTCGAGATTGGGGAGAGATTTTACGAGAGTGTTTCTCATAGCAGCAGCAGCGGACCTGTGGGAGCATGGTGGAGGGGGGGAAAGAGGAGCAACGAGCAGACCCAGAGCGCACACAGGGAGGTGAGCGGCGAGAGCAGTGGGAAGACAGGACCGCATCATCAAGCGCTTTAAACAAACTGTGTAACTCACTCGGAGGCAGCACACGGGTTGACATTCAGCCAGAGTACACGCAGGGCGGTGAGTGGCGAGAGGAGGGAGAATGGCAGGCACATTCTTCTGAGGTTGAAACCCACCAGGTTCTGGAGGGTGGAAACAGAACCTGGTGGGATAGAAGGAGGTTCCGAGTAAACAGGTGTTACTCACTCGGAGGCAGCACACGGGTTGTCATTCAGCCAGAGCGCACGCAGGGAGGTGAGAGGAGAGAGCAGGGAGGCCACTCGAGCAGTGTCTGTGAGTTTGTTTCCCCACAGGCTCAGACCCACCAGCCGCTGGCGGTGGGGAGAGGGTGGGTAGGGCGGTGTGATTCAGGAGTGTGAGTGTGAGTGTGAGTGTGAGTGTGAGTGTGTACAACCGGAATGAGAAAGAGAGGGCAACTGTTGCAGCGTCTGTCAGCTGATTGCCCCAGAGGCTCAGACCCACCAAGGTTCTGGTAATGAGGGGGTATAGGGCGGTGTGATTGAGGAGTGTGAGTGTGATAATAACGGGGGTGGTAATCACTAGAGCAGTCGGTTGCCCCAGAGGCTGAGACCCACGAGGTTCTGGTGATGGGGGGATAGGAAAGAGTGATTCAGGGAATTATTGTGAAGTTGTAACAACAACGGGGGAGAGTGTGAGTGACTATGTTAGAACGAGGCTGCGAGCGTCGTGACGTGATGCGACATTGAGAACGACGAGCGGCACAAGTGCAGGGCTGCACGCCAAACGTCAGCGTGCAGTGCATTGGCTGAACGTATAGAGCCGCACGCCAAAAGAAACGTCTATAACATCTGATCTGAGTCGTGACTCTGTACACAAAATGCCAAAAGGCATTCTCCCTTCCCTTCTACAGGCAGATCCCCCTTCTCCTTTTCTGTGTCATCTATAAGCAGCCTCATTAGTGGGACTCACAGGGAAGCGCTCGTGCAGTTTCATAGCAGCCAGCATGTCATCGTCAATCCCCTCCCCATCCATCTCCAACCACTCCACATCGCTCTCCACCCCTCCTTCCACCTCTCCATATGCCCCATTCTCTGCCCTTCGCTCCTCCCCTCCTTTGCTCTGAGCGGCCAGAGCTGCCAGAACTGCCCGAGAAGCAATATCATCGACGGACCTTGTGCCCTTGCTTTCGCCCTCAGCCCTCTCCACGTCTCCCGCTTTTCCTTCCCCCCCTCCTTCCCCCTCCCCCTCCCCTTCCGCTTCCCCCTCGTCCTCCGCCCCAACGCACATGAGAGCCGCCATCCGCGCGGCCAGCTTTGGGAGGCTCTCCAGCTGCGGCAGGGTCGGGGGAGAAGTGGGGGAAGGATGGGGGAAGAAGCGGGAGTGTGTGGCGTCCCGGGGGAAGCGGAGGGGGTACGTACGCGCAGCATCACATGAGATTCGCCATCCGCGCTGCCAGCGACAGGCAGAGGTGAGGGGGGGGGGGGGGGGGGGAGGGGGGGATGGGTGAAGGGATGGGAGGAGAAGAGGGGGGCGGGGAGGGGGGGGGGGGGTTGTGGGGTTCCGGGTGAGGCGGAGGGGGTACGCGCAGCATCACATGAGATCCGCCATCCGCGCTGCCAGCTTGGGGAGGCTCTTCAGCTGCAGCAGTGGGGGAGGGAGGGGGAGAATGCGGGGAGAGGAAGGGGAAGAAGGGCAAGGGGAATGGGAGATAAGGAGGAGCGGGTAGGGAAAGCCGCGCTGCGAGCTTGGGGAGGGGTGAGACCGTGAGAGAGGAGTGGAGACAAGGCGACAGTAAAGTAGATGCGGCACCGCATTGGCATGTGCCATGCTTATGTGCTGTGCCATGCCATGTGCCATGCCATGCTTATGTGCTGTGCCATGCCATGCTAAGCGCTGTGCCATTCGTATGAGCCACTCACGAGACTTTCTCCCCGGCCAACGTGACTGCTCATGCATTCATTCGTTTCCCCTTTTCGTTCATGCTCCCCCGCCCTACCCTCCCCCTTTCCCTCCCCCCCCTACCCTTCCCCCCTCCCTCACGCGCCCGCCTCCATAAAACGTGCCCCGTTCGCGTTCATAACCCCCTCTCCCACTCCCTCCCCTCTGCTTTTTGAGAATTGTCCAGTGTGACTCCCGCACGCTCCCCACTCCCACCACCACACTCTTTCCCCACGTGCCGGCTCGCGTTCATGCCCGCCTTCCCCCCCGCTTCCCCCCCTCCCCCCTCCCCATCCCCCTCCCCCAACACACTTCCCCCACAGACATGCCTGCTCGCGCGCCTGGCCTAATCGGAACGACCACGCGTGGTCCACTAAAAACACGTCACCCTGCGCGTCCAATCCGCGCCCGCCAGGTGTCAGCACGACGCGCCGCTGCCGCCCGCCCTCCACCTCCTCGATCGCGAATCTGCTGCCCGCATCGAATCTTTCCGCCATGATCTTCTCGAACAGTCGCGGGTAGAGTTCGCGAGGCAGGCCTGTTGCGAGTAACAACATTTCGTGCACTTTAACGAAGTCCTCTAGGTTTTGGATCCGTGGAGGCGGGGACTCCGCGGGCGGGGGCTCCACCGCAGCGGCGGAGACTTGCGCATCAGACGGCTGCGCGGGCGTGCTCTTCGACGGAGCGGAGTCAGACGCGGGAGCCATTGGGGGAAAGGTGGGTTGGCGAAACGACGGATGCGACAAACTATTGAATGGATTCTTGGAACAAGGTCAACGGCTCTTGGGCTTGTTCTAGTGTTTCTGGTTGAGAATTTCACTCAAAGGGCTTTTCCTTAGAAGCCAGGAAGAACAAACAGAAAGAGAAAACAGCAACTTCTACTCTAATTCCTACTAATGTATTTTTATATGTACAGTACATACATTTCAGAAATGCGGCTCGGAATGTCGATTCGGGTGGCCAGCCCCGACATCGAGTCGCATCATCCTTTTCCACATTTGTAACTCACTGCTATCATACACGTGTCCTTTTCTAACTCTTCGATATTGTTCCCTCGCCACCTGTCCCACGCGGAAGTCTTCCCAAGTCAGTCAAGGCACGAAACCTCAGTTTCGCCCTTCTCACGTGGGTCCCCCACGTCCTGCTCACTTCCGCCCCCTTGCTGCCCACGTTCGCAGCTGCACGCAGCTGCTGCATGCTTTCACCTCCCGTGCACTTCACGCTGCCTCCAGAGCAGACCCCACTTGTTACATTACCTCCCCTCCCTGAAGGCACCGTCCTCGGTGCCAATGAGGCAAGATAGACTCCAATGGCACGAGGAGCATGGCTGAGGTTGGAGAACGGCTCCCATGTGCCTTCAGATGCAGATGTGTTGCACCAGTGAATGAGATATTCACGGCCAACCGGGGTGTCACGGTGTGAGAGGATGGTGTCGACCTCATGCAGGTCCGGATGGGCAGAGAACATGGGTGGGCGGGGCTGGAATGGGTGAGAGGGAGTTCGGTAAGGACGGAGAAGGTGAACATGGAAAACAGGGTGTATGGTCATGTGAGAAGGGAGTTGAAGTCGGTAGCTGACTGGTGAGAGAACTTTGGTGATGGGAAATGGTCCAACGAATCTGGGAGCGAGCTTGCGAGAAGTTCCAACATTCAGCAGAGGCAGGTTAGCAGTTGAAAGCAGCACCAAATCACCAGCTTTGAAAGTGGTGTGACGCCTATGCTGGTTGGCATAGCGAACTTGGCGCTCTTGTGCAAGCTGAAGCTTCCTTCGGGCAAGTTGAAGAATGCGGTGATGAGAAGAGATGAAATCTGCTGCTGTTGGGTTAGGGGAATGAAGAGAGTGAGGAAGGGATGTGACTGAACGTGGCAGCTGTCCAGTACCTAACAAAAACGGTGGCTCTCCCGTGGCAATGTTGGGGCTGCTGTTGTAGGCAAACTCGACTGCTGCCAAGTGCTGATCCCAGTCAGTTTGCATGACATTCACACACAAGCGTAGCGCATCTTCCAGGGTTCAGTTCATGCGCTCTGTCTGACCGTCAGTTTCAGGGTGGTAGGCTGTAGAGAGTCGAATCTGAGTGCCCAGCAGTTGAAACAGTGCAGTCCAGAAGTTGCTGAGGAACCGTGTGTTGTCATAATCTTACGGGAAAAGTTGTCTCGACTATCGAGGAGAAAAGATAAAAAGGAGAAACCTAAGGGGTTGTACCCCACAGTGAGTACCCCACTAAGCCTAACCAAACTACAACAAATATACACATATGTTTGACACACCCCCATAGGCAAAGTGGGGGAGAACAGAGGGTCACAAGACCAGTCAGGAAGTGCAAAGCAAGCTCAGGGTGGATCACAACGTCACCACGCAGTCTGAGCACAAGCAAGAAGGCCACAAGGCCAGTTCACATGCAGAAATATATATGTAACAACAACAGTACAGTGATATCCACCTACAAGAACAAGCATGCAGGAATACATATAAATCATGGTACAAACAAGGCCTACAGCAAGTGAGGAAGAGTGGGCACAAGGCCTAACAAAGTGCAGAAACGCTGATGATCACCAGGCGGAAGCGCCTTGGTGAATATATCAGCAGTGTTGGCCCGAGTGGCCACGTAGGTAAGGCGAAGCTGGCCACGCTGCTGCAGCTCTCGAGCAAGAAAGTAACGGAGAGCGATGTGCTTTGTTCTGTGCTCCAGACTATGCTCCTGACACAAGGCAATGGCGGCCTTGTTGTCGACGTACAGAACTGGAGGAGAACGAGGCCTCTCTCCCAAGTCGGTCAGCAGGTAGGTGAGCCAGCGCAGCTCCTCTGCAGCCATGGCTGTGGCGTAGATCTCTGCCTCACAGCTGGAGCCGAGAACTGAAGACGAACGTGTAGAACGCCAGGAAACTGAACCAGAACCAAGGCTGAAGGTGTAACCCTGTGACGACCGCTGCGTAGCCTGGTCGTCAACCCAAGAGGCGTCCGAGTGACCTGTGAGGACAACGTCACCCCGTCCTCCAAGCACGAGCCCCATGCCCGATGTACTGCACAAGTAGCGTAGTACCCTCTTGGCAGCATCCATGTGCACCTTTCGGTGCCGACCAGGAGCCACGTAGCGAGCCAGAAGGCCAAGAGGGTACGCAAGGTCAGGACGAGTGCAAGTCATCAGGTACATGAGGCAGCCCACTAACTCTGGGTAAGGACCACTCGGCTCTACGGACTCGTCCGAAGGTGGAGCTGAGAGCGAGTGACCTGTAGCCAGAGGAGTGGCCTGTGCTGAGGATCAGGTGAAACCGAAGCGCTAAAGGACCTGCTGCACCATGTGTGACTGAGTAAGTGTGATGGTGCGGCGTGCTCTGTCCCGGGTGATCTACAAGCCAAGGTAGCTGCGCAGTTCACCCAGGTCTGTGCACGTGTGTCTCTTCTGCAGCTCCGACTTCACCAGGGCGAGAGCCTCAGTGTCAGCAGTGGCAAAGACCAAGTCGTCAACGTACACGAGAACGTAGAACGGCGGCAGAGAAGTGTTGGTGCGCAAAAACAGCGACGGGTCAGCAGTCGACGGAGCAAACCCAAGAGCCGCAAGTGTCATCCTCAGTGTGTCGTGCCACTCACGTGGCGCCTGGCGGAGACCGTAGACCGGCCGCCGGAGGCTCCACTGGGTACCAGGAGGGAACGACCCAGTGAAGCCAGGAGGGCGGCGCAGCCAAATCTCCTCGTGCAGGCTGCCCTGTAAGAAGGCTGTGCTGAAGTCAAGAGAGTGAAGCTCGTAGTCACGCTGAGCGGCAACGTGCAGCAGCACCCGAAGAGTGGTCATCTTCGGGGTGGGGGAGAAGGTCTGGAAGAAGTCAACTCCCTCTCGCTGACTGAAGCCTCGAGCCACGTACCGAGCCTTGAAGACAGGCGAAGAACCTGGCGGCCGCTTCACCCTGAAAATCCACATGCCACTGACAATGTTCGCCCCAGGAGGGGGAACCTCGTCGACGTAGGTGCCTGTGGACTTCCAGGATGCCATCTCTGCGTCCATGGCTGTCTGCCACTGAGAGGAGTACTCACCCGCGATCGCCTCAGCGTAAGAGCGCGGGGTAGGGATGTCTGGTGCATCCGGGTCTCCCTCAGGGGCAAGCAGCATGGATACGAGATGAGGCGCAGCGGCTGCAAGACACTCAAGGTCCTCCTGTCTGTCCTCAAGGACGTCCGTGCCAAGAGCACACTCACCCCCGACGGACGGAGGACAGACAGACTCAGACTCAGCAACAAGACTGGCGGCGTAGTCGAGACGACAGGCAGCAGCAAAGTCAACAAGCTCAGCGACTAAGGCAGACGCAGCAGCAGACTCAAACGACGGGTCAGTGACAACAGTGGCAAGCAGACGCGTGACAGTAGAGTGCTCAGCACGAAACTGGTCAGACGCAGGGTCAGCAACGACAGGCAGAGAGGACGCAGGGGGGAGACGGCAGAGGAACACGCAGCGGAGGAGAGGAAGGACGACGAACTACAAGGTGAGAGCTGGAGACAGCCGGCTGCCGCTGACGAGGAACACGACGACCGGAACGACCAGAACGGACAGGTGAGACAGGACGCGACGCAGGCTCACGACGCTCAGCAAGGCCCCTAGTCTGCTCTGTGTACGGAGAAGGAGCAGGCAGCGGTGAGCCAGGCTGTAACGGAAGACCAGTAGACGAGGGAAGACTGAGAACCTGACGAAGTGCAGAGTCAGGTGGTGGCTGAGACGACGGAGACGGCGGAGCGAAGAACAGGCGCTGCTGAGCAGTGCCACCAGCACCAGTAGCGCCAGCACCTCCAGCAGCTCCAGCACCTCCAGCAGCTCCAGCACCGCCAGTAGCTCCAGGACCCTCAGCAGGTCCAGCACCTCCAGCAGTTCCAGTACCTTCAGCAGCTCCAGCACCGCTAGTAGCTCCAGTACCCTCAGCAGCTCCAGCACCGCCAGCACCTCTAGCAGCTCCAGTACCTCCAGCAGCTCCAGCACCCTCTGCAGCGCCAGTACCCTCAGTCACAACACCGCCAGTCCCAGCAGCTCCAGTACCCTCAGTACAAGCACCTCCGGGACCAGCGACACCAGCAGAAGAACCCCCAGCAGTAGAGCCCTGAGGTGCAGAAGCGCGACGCTGACGACGACCGTACCAGTCGTGCAGCTGCTGGGAGGTGAGGGGCACACGCGGACGAAGACGGCTACTCCAAGGAGACCGCGGAAAAGCAGTCGCAGAACCCTCAGGCGACTCACCCCCAGACTCAGCACCCCCAGGCTCCGCACACGCAGGCTCAGCACCCCCAGACGCAGCACCTCCAGACGCAGCACCCCCAGGCTCCTCACGCTCAGCGCCCCCAGACTCAGCACCCCCAAGCTCCGCACCCCCAGGGACAGCACCACTCGCAGCAGGACCGGAGTCACCAGTGACCTCAACAGGCGCAGTCGCGGGGGGGTCTACCTGAGAGACACCTGAAGGAGCAGGACCTGGCGCGGGGAGGGGGTCTACCTGGGGAGGACCTGGGGCGAGAAAGAGCGGCGGGGGGGGGGCGAGGAGCAGTGCGGTAGGGGAAGAGGCGGTAAAAGGGGACGGACTCGTCAAAGGTGACGTCCTGAGACGCAAAGACACGGCGCGAGGCGGGGTCGTAAAACTGCCAGCCAGGCGCGTCAGGGACAAAGCCAAGGAAGACGCAAGGAATGGCGCTAGGGGAGAGCTTGTCCGCGGTGGTATCGCGGACAAAGGCA